TCAGCAATAAGGATTAACATAACCAACACTGAACTACGTTAATGCTAGGCTTAAAAGTAAATCCAATAAATCGAAAGCATATGCAAAATTAACCTTTGTTGATGCTTGTGAAATTTATCTAAATAAAATGCTCAAATGATCATCAAGGTGCAGGTTATTTATATTCATGTAATTGGATTGCACTTGAATCAAAGTTTAAAAGGGCGCTTTTTATCGTTTCTTCACGTTCCCATGAATGAAGTTCGCTTGATTTTGTTATATTTTGAGGCACAGCTCAATCTACTTGAAGTAGAACACTTTCTACTTAAGTAACTTCCTCGCCTTCACCAGGCATAGGGACACGGTTTGGTTTATTCAGAAGTTTTGCATTACTATTGGCGTCCCTCTGTCGATGAAATTTGAGCCGAATTTGATCTTGAGAATGCCACATGCATTCATGTCCCTTTTGAAGAGCGCCCTTTTTCCAATCTGACATCCAATTTTCTTTTGCGCCAAGGCATCTAGTACCCTTTGCGACGAAACATTTACTAAGGAGGCCAGCGTAATTACCAGAATGTTGTTTATCCCTGAAGTGATTACTAGCAAGGGGAATATTGCGAATCCAGGAAGAGCAATTTCCCTGTGCAAAGTGATGCAAACGTACAGCGAGGATATTTGAATTGCTGGAATGCAGGATATTATCATTGGAACGATTCTCTCAGTGACGAAGGCGTTGAATGAGTTCTCGAAGATTTGGACATAGCGGTACAATCGGATGCATGTGATGATGTCCGTCTCGTTCTCGATTTTGGAAATTTACCTAAATATTAAATTAATATATCATCCATGCAATAGTGTATCCCATGACCTGATAAATTAAGATGTACACAAAAAGAGGAAATATTATAGGCAAAATCCTCATATGTAAAAGAAGAAATCTTCAGAAATGTTAGATTCAGTAACTCGAATAAGATTAGCAATCAAATTGATAAATGTATTGAGCGGGTATGGATTTGCTAATACTAATTCGTTTAAGTACCTGTTTAGGAGTTGAATGTAATGTAAGAGAAAAGTTATTCCAACAAAGAGAATATATAGAGTCCACGTAGTGCCAGAATATTTATTGTGAAAGGCCATCCAAGTTTCAAACATATGTACTCCAAGTTTTACTCCGTATCGTAGCGACGTAGGTTGTGAACGCTCACATGCTGCCAATGTTGACAAGATGAAGGGTGGCGTGCATGGCAGAAATCGTAACAAAAGAAAGACCAGGATTGGGTATGCGAACACCCGAACTTCCACTAGGAACAGAAATATCTTGACTGCTTTAGTTCCCTTCGAGATTGGAATTTTTGGTAGACCTGTATGTTTCGGTAACAAACGTTAAATTTGGTTAGGTACCATAAACCTGCTTGTTTAAATAAGATTATTCCTGGGCAACTACCAAATTCACCCAAAAACAGAATAGTTACTTCCTTGCCAAAATTTTAAAGAAATTACTTCGAACTTAGAATTTGAGTTAGACTTTACATTACTTACTTTCCATGATCCTTTCTTCGAAATCCAGCAAAGCATTCGCAATTTGAATAGGGGCGATATCAATGGAATAATTCCATCTCGGAATTGCAGCAGCTAGAGATGCCAACAGCATCGCAAATCCTTGCAATCTTCCCGACATTGTTAATGGGCCGAAGCAAATGTTTAGAAACATTGCCGTACAGTACAACGCTGTTAGTACGCATTGCAGTCTGAACATGCGAATTAGTCCGACGGACTTGGTTTTCACGAAACGTCCCGACTTTTGGTCAAATTCGAATGGAATGCATTTCAATCTGTGACACATCCTTACGTGGAAATTCAAAAGGGGAAGAAATTCCCTTCGATACATTGTGTTCGTCTTGATTATTGACAAAGAATGGTTGGTGTTTGATAAGATAATTTAAAGCTACGTAAAGCGAGTCAGAAGGGAACGCTGCAATTCATTAACTTAATTATCTGTGAATGAAATCTAAGTTGCTTATTAAGTCAATATCTAACGGCGAGGCATAAATACTTATTGCAAGAAAGGGTTGCTGTTGGCTGAAAGCAGCAGCCTTGTGTCAACAGTATCCTTTATAATCCAAATGCTGCTATGCGGTTAAAGAATGAAACGTTTACATGGTTTCGTCTAGCACCTAATTATATGAAACTTTTCCCTTACCCTTTCGGAAATAATGAGATGATGCGCTAACAAAGATGCTTAAACTCATCTTACATTTCCTCTTACGCTTTTCACTCAATTTTGCACGTTGGTACAAAGTTCGAGTTAAAAATCCCTATAATAATAAAATAGTGTCATTTTTTACAATTATTTAATAGGGAATTTACATGGAACCCTTTAATAACAAAATTGTTATGATACCGGTAGAATCCACAGTTGGCAATACCTCCTTACTCGAATGGTTTAGAGGGCATCCAGTTATTCCGATTCGCATAGGTTGTTTTTCTTTAATCATTTCGAACCTTCGATATCGCACACCAAATCTTCAGCAGTACAAATGTCAAGAGTTTTAATTATATGCGAGCCTTTTAATTAAATTTGGTTAATGGCTTGCTGTGGAAATATTTTCCACGTGTAAACGAAGCTTGTGTAATTGAAAATAGATTTGACATTCAGTTTACGTAAATTGTTGACGAAGGTATCTTTCCACGTGGAGAAAAATAAGCCCTCATTTCTCATTTCTCATATCATGATTTCCGTGACCTATGTAAATATTGTTGTCATATACATACTGAAATAAATTATAAAACATTTCCATTTGAGAAACGGAGAAAAACGGCATATATTTACATATGTATATCAGCCAATAATAAATACTTATCTCTACGGAAAATTCTCATACCCGACATATCTTGATTAGGTTAACTACATATGTAACAATAGGAATAAGGGGATTGGATCTGTGTCTGGTTCTAGAATAGAAACTAACACATTGAGTTAATAAGTACATGCCTACATAATGTCAACTTTCGGTTATAATTCTCATTTAATGTTAAGAACAACTTATTAGCGTGTGTATTTAAACAAATGATAGGATGTTCAATGTTAAAACACTACATGTTTACTTATGTACAATTTTGTAGTCATCATCTGTATTTATGTATTGCATATTGCATTTCGACATTTAGCTCACGAGGGAACCTCTTATAGTGCCCGGAGCTCCCAGCACAGGCCCGTAGCGACGTTTCGTCCGGCCTGGAGAGTTTAGCCGTGGTACGGCCTAATATGCCCCACAAAAAACTTCGAAACTCCGATTTTATATAGTGTATTCTATTGCGGATCCCGGCGGTACGGCCCCTTGGGCTGCACGGCCTGGAGAGTGTCTCTCCACCTCTCTCCAGCGTCGCTACGGGCCTGTCCCAGCATAACCACTATGTACATTCGACGTAGATTTTAATACTAGTCCGATGATGTGACAAAATTTCCGTGTCAAAATGACATTTCGTCAAGTGGTGACGACTTTAGTGACGCGCCGAACGGTCACTTTCGCCCATGCTTTCAAAAGAGGAACGCTTTTCACCACTCGCTCCTCACTCATCTCACTTAAATCTCAACCCATTTACTCATTGAGTAAACTCGCATCCAATTTAACTGTTTTGACAATATGGTCCTTGTTTACTATTTGTAGCCTTTTAATATTATTTTTTACCTTGAAATATTCGGAGTTTAAAAATTATAGAATGTCTATAATTGTATCAATTTGTGAGTCTGTTCTTAAAATCGCCAAGGACAGGTATTCGGGAGATTCGAACGCTTCATCAATTCTAGTTAACAATGTTGAAATTGTTGACCGGGTTTTGCGTTTTGTGGAAGGTTTAGTTGATCATTCAAATACGGACTTTGAATCTTCTATTACTTTAGAATTTGATTATGATTGTGATATTGACACCTATGTCGCGGCATACGATTTAATTAGTGATAGTGATACAATAAATGAATTTCATGAGGATTCTGAAGATGAGCAAGACGTCGAGGAAGCTTCTGCAAGTCTGTCGCAACGAACCTCACAGGAATGGGAGGAAGAAGATCTCGACGGTGTAAATTTTACCTATCAAGAGATGGTGAATATTCTTAACTTCTACAATCGTGCCAAAAAAAATAAATTAGAAAAGACAAGGCGTATGTATAGTAAAGTTCGTGATTATAAATCCATCCATCGTATGCGAAATTATGTCGAAAAAATGGGTTGAGATTAAAGTGAGATGAGTGAGGAGCGAGTGGTGAAAAGCGTTCCTCTTTTGAAACCATGGGCGAAAGTGACCGTTTGGCGCGTCACAAAAGTCGTCACCACTTGACGAAATGTCATTTTGACACGGAAATTTTGTCACATCATCGGACTAGTATTAAAATCTACGTCGAATGTACATAGTGGTTATGCTGGGAGCTCCGGGCACTATAAGAGGTTCCCTCGTCAGAATTAAAATGTGCGTATTTTTCTCTATTTTGGTACAAGCATACATATTTTAAGAGTAGGTACATACATAAAACTCAATGCTTCCCATGCTTTGAAATATTTAAGAATTTTATCAACCTCAAAGTACAAGTTATTGAATCAATTTTCTGTCTCAACTAGATATGTATGCAATTGTGCATGTAACTATTTAGATATGTACAAATCCAGTCTCGCTACATACCCATGAATATAATTTCCTTTGCATGAGTATCTATTTATAACGAAGATAGCATACGTCTTGCATCTCGAAATGTCTAACTTATCCTTAGTTTAAGATGTTCACTCTAAACGTTAAAAAAGTGTTTTAATTTAGAATTTGAATGGATGCAAGTAGATAGGTAAATAAAACTAGAAAATTGTACAGGATAAACTAAATAAATGTTGGAATGCCAGTGATTATTCTGGTATTCAAATATTTAACTAGATATTTGGTTGTAATATTTTGCATTTTGGTTTGATTACAAAAATAAATTGGTTGCAAATCTTAAAGTTGCGAAAATGAAAACTTTTGGTTGGAAGAAAAACAAATTGCTTGGGTGGTCATATTTATTCAAATTTTGATACTACGTACAAATTGGTTGAAGTCCACTTTATTTATTTACTACCAAATACAACGTTGGATGCACAAATATCTAGATATGTTTAATAATATGGATATAAATGTATAAAATCCTGCCAACTCAAAAATTTCTCCTGATATAACGACTTCTCCCTTCAATGTAGATAAACAGATACGTCTAATCGTTGTTCGAATAATTCACACCCTCAGGTCCAAAAAATCCTCTTGAACGGGTATAAATAATCCACCCAATTGAGGAACTTAAATCCGGACCGGTAAACGAACGTTTTACCGGCTCGAATTGGCCAACGTCTATCTCGAAACTGGTAAACGATTTCATGGAACAGTCTTCTCAGCATGATATCATTTGCCTCGCGTGGACCTGAATTCCACACCGCTGCCTTCACAATCTTCCAATCGTCGGGGCTGAGTTTGTTCATTATAACTTGCAATATGTCGGTATGGAACGCAGGCAGTGGAAAATATAGGATGGGGTACATTTCGAGAAAATCGGCTGCAGCATCGGTAGGCTGAAAAGGTAATTGATTGGTATTAAATTTAATTTTGCAAATTGTTTAATGGAACATACGCATGTATTTGTTTTACGATTTGGGGATCACTGAAGTAACAATAATTTTTACTAATGTTACCCTTTTAAAAACCAATTGCAATTAAGTAAACTATACCAGATCCAGAGCAAATTTACTCTTTGGGAACGCCAATATATAACGTCATCAAAAATAGGGGAGGGGTGGTTTTGAGTCGCCTATCTAACTAGTAATCAGCTTAACCTCTTTCGTAGTACTAATTTTTTATAAAATATAAACCATATTGATCTCATTACTACACTTGATATCAACCAATTAAGATTTCAACTAGTTTTCAATTTCTGAGTTTTTTGAAAAACATGAAAAATCTACTTTTTAACATTGGTAGATATAGGGAAAATTCCAAAACTTCAGAAGAAAAATATTTTAAAAAATCCACTTTTAGAAGTTAACATGAATATAACATGAACGAAGAGGTCTAAAACTAGGGGTTTTTATGACATAATATATAAACGTTCCCTTTATCACGTAAACGTTGCTCCGAAATTATCCTTAATACAGTTCATTTAGCATATTTACAAAGATCTGAATATGCGGTTTAATAAAATCACGACATGGTGACAACTTGTCTTTGGCAAGTGAAGTGCTTGATCCGCGATAACTAGTTAACAATGCATGGTTAACAATGCATAGTTAACAATGCATTGCGATGGTGTGAGGTGGTTATCGCCGATATCGACCAGACTAATTTTAAATCGTTCAAAAATAATTGGACCCGTATTTTTTTCGTTTTCCTGAATGGGCATATTTACGCCCGTGGCGGAATTTAAAAAAACATTTCCGCTAAAATTTTTAAAAACGCTGCAACTTTTCGAAGTTTTACTCGATTTAAAAAATTAAACACAATTTTTGCTCGGAATTACTTCCCTGATATTATATAAATTCATTTTTGAAAAACTTATAATTTAAAAAACAATTATCGTTTTTTAGCATTTTAAAAAATTCAGTAATGGCATTAAAACATCAAATTTTGTAAAATTTTGTACAATGAATCATCATAATTTCATGGAAGTAATTCTAAGCGAAAATTGAGTTTAATTTTTAAAATCGGGTTAAAATTCGAAACTTTATAACGTTTTTAAAAAGCCGAATTTTGACTGATTTTTTAAATTCCGCCACGGGCGTCAACATGCCCATTCAGCAAAACGAAAAAATACGGGTCCACTTATTTGTAAGGATGAATAATTTAAAATTAGTCCGGTTGATATCGGTGATAACCACCTCACACCTCCTCATCGTAAGCAAATAAGTAAGACTTTTATTAATTATTTAATTCTAACATTAAAATGATCAGACGTCGGATATGAATGACCGATAAAACCTCAAAATATGAATGAAAAATGACGGTAAAAATCCCCTAAATATGACCATAAAAATGACCTTATTTTTTTAAATTTTTGGCTTAATTTCTTGTATATATTTTCTTGTAATGCTCAATTTTTATCAAATAAATAAGTTCTGGGGTGATTTAATGCATTCCCAAAGAATTAAATCACCTTAGGCGAAGGTGAACGTAAATTTTTGAAAGTTTCTCACAATGAATCATTGTGAGAAAACTGAATTTTTTGTCATTTTCTGTCGATTTGATTGCCAAATCTTAAAATTTGGCTAAAAATGATAAAATGAACGAAAACCCCCGAAATATGATCGGGAATATGAATATGCCCCATAACCCGAAAATATGACAAATATGAGAAAATATGCTTTGACCTACGTGACCTACTAGTGACCGTACATTCTCATTCTCGGAAAGTTTGGCGACTGTAGGTCAATAAATGAAAAAAGTCATTTTTCATTCATAACCGACGTATGAAAATGATATTTAGAACAAAATATCAAAATTCTAAAATAAAAATTTGCAAATTTTTCTTTCGCAAAAATTTTCCAGTGTGGCGAGAAATTTAATCCTCCCCGTGTGTATACAAATATTTATGTTAATACCTTTCTCCCGCTTGATAAGCATATGAAGAAGTTCCGCTGCAGGTTAACATGATCCTCCGTGAGGGCTAGATCGTTCCATTCCTTCACAAACTTATCGTATTTTCCGACACCCATCATATCTTTGAGAGCGGGTAAAACATCTCGCTCCAGGGTTTGTTCAGCGGTGGAAAGCTGCATCATTTCTGGGTGGCTGCCGATTAGTAAGTTTGCCTTTTGTGTCGGCGTACCGGCTTTTCCTGTGTCAATATTGGCTTCGAACTCAACCCGCAACGGGCTGTTAATGGTTTGAGAGGACTCGAGAAACTCGACTAAAGGCTGGTATAGTGCTGGTCTCATTAATCGTTGTAACTTTTCGATGACCTACATATGTATGTTTTTAAAGATAAATAAATTAGTTTTGATCAGCGTATGCATTTCTGATTCGTAAGTTATTGTGTTTTGTGAAGGGTAAATTATAGAGTTCAAACCAGACTAGGCATTCTAAATCGGAACGTCTTGAAAAATCGGGTTTCAATTTTCGCCGAAACCGACTTTAATATATTTTAATTCATTTTAATCTCCGAATTCGCTTTTGGACATACAATTTTAACTATTTTGTAACTATTTTTACTCGTGTAAAAATTTCAAGTGAAAAATGAGGAATTAATTTTATAGCTCGCAATAAATTGGACCATAGTCCATTATGGATTAATTTTAGCGAATTATCTAAATGATCTCGATGGGTTTGAGTTTTCTCTATGATTTTTGAAGACAATGAGTCACTTAGAGTAGTCTTAATTTACATATGGTACATACCTGCGCCCTCATGTTGGCACGTATTTTACAGATTTCGGCGTAATGCTGATCCAGCGTGGCTTGAAGGCGGTCAATCTCTCTGCGGTATTCGGCCGCTTTCATCTCCGCTTTTTCCTTTTCGCTGCGAAGTTTTTCCTTTTCCAACCGCAAGGTGGCTACGTCATCTTCGAGCTGCTTAATCCTGACCTTGTCTTCTTTCCGCAGTTTTTTAATTTTATCGAGTTTTTCCTGAAGAGTAGCATTTTCCCGCTTAAGGTGGGCAATGCTTTGTTCGTGGTTTTTATTCTGGCTGTCGATATCTTCCATTAGGCGCGAAATTTGGTCGTCTTTTTCCCCCAAATCATTTTTCAATAGGCCGATTTCATTGTTACGTTGGGTGAGCTGTTGAAGACGTCAAAAATGTATCAAAAATGTGTTTTAAATTTTTAGAACACATCTTAAATTTTAAATTTAGTACATATTTTTTAATTTTTAAAAACTTGCCACCCTATTAGAAACGCTTCTAAAAAATTAAAATACTCCTACCAAAGATCACATAAAAGTGTACCAATAGTGTAGTAATAAATTACATACTACGCAAACTATATTTACTAACTCAAGAGTTAAGTTTATTCCTTATAAAGTTACCGTTTTTATTTATTTAACATGCTTTAGCTAATTTACACGAAGACTTTGTCTTTTTGTCTGTCATTAAATAGGTCAGCGGGATATATAATCGGATCGAGATAATCGTGATTGGTTTGAGCAATCACAAACATATGACCCCAGGGGGAGGAACCTATCGACTTTAGGGGTCCATCGTACCACCCCCTCGTACCCGTCGGGTTTGGTCGGACCTAACTTACGTTTTTACTGATATACAATCCATGGATGTAATAAGTACAGAGAAATTTAGTCTTCCCGTGCTGTAACACCCTCCCCCCACTCCCCAGGGGGTGTGGCAAAACGAGATTTCTTTCAGACATTCAATTTATGAAAAACCTATATACATTAAGTGTTCTCGTGATGTCGTTGGCGAGGTTGGGTTTAAGTTGAAATGAGACTGAAGCTACTTCTTTATGTGTGCGTCGATGTTTAACTTAGGGTACATTACCGGCTCAAAATATTAGTTAAAAGTGTAGTTAATTGTAGTGAAAAACTGACTCACTTCTTTATTTGTCTCACACCATTGTAGTTCGGCGATACCGGTCTTTTCCACAAGTTCTTCGTTCATCAACTGGACCCGATGGAGCCGTTCTACGATCTCGGGAATGCTCATGTTTCCACGAACAGTAGAACCTTTAAATTTCAGAAAATCGGGATCCTCTTTGGCCTCCGGCATTTATAAAACCACCCCCACCCCCACCTAAATCCACCCCCACCCCCATCAAATCTTATCACTCTATCACTCATTTGTCCTATCTGGTGTCCAGGTAGTCAGAGCCGAATGGACCTCTGGGCCACATTCCCAGAGGTGATAGTGGTTTTCCTGGCTCTACACCATAGCCAGGTTTTCCCACTATTCCTCTGACTACTTTATTTTACTATGTTTACATTTACATATCTAACTCTGTAATCTCTATATTGATGAGGGCTCATGGCCATATCAAATGCTAATAAATTGAATTGAATTGAATTGAATTTCAGAAAATCGTTTGTCTTGAAAAACATTCATTTTCCATAAAAAATATGTATGTATGAAAACAAGCGAAAATCAATATCACATTTGATTACATATATATAATTGAAAAGTTTCCATTGATTTACAATGCATATTACCAATACTTTGGTTGTAATAAATTGAAAATAACTATGTAACTTCCTAATTTTCGAATCATTTTTGAAATTTTTCATGTAAACCCCCACTTTGTATAAGATTTGTTTGTTTTTAACATATTGCATGAACTCCTTACTCTTTGCTTGTTCTATTAAAAAGGTTTTAAGGACGACGGAATCGGAAATTGCGATTATTATTTGCAAATTCCACTACCGCTGTCTGTTATGACTATAATTGTACAAGATTAAATTTTCACACTGAAAAATATAGACTCGGCGCAAAAGGCACATAAACATGCATGCATATTTAGATTGCTACCAAATAAATAATTAATTAAATTCTTACCGTGTGCTGGGCTAGGTGACATGGTTTCTCGGACGGATGACAACTTGGAGTACGAATCGTGAACAAGAAATGGGGCAAAAATTCAGTTCACGCCAACTTTTCATTTGAGTGCTCCGTAAGTTGAACGGAAATGGGTTATGTACATATTTACAACGGTTTTTCCTTTAGTCGAAAGGATTTTGGCTGTTGACACGTATTTTGTTACCAAATGCATACTAATGTTTACAAGGCACCTAGAATACATAGAGGGTGTCCAGAAAGTTTCTCGCTATGGATTTTCCGCAAGTTTTTTTATTGCTAGTTTTAACATCTTTGAGTTTTATCGTGCAATTATTTTACCAATACGATATCAAATGTGAAGCCTTTTCCCATGCACAAAGAATTGAGTATCCTAGCAGTATCCAATGAATGGGATGGATTTAAGTAGAAACGCAAAAATCTGATAGATGTTTGGATTGCGGAGTGATTAAAAATATTTTAAACCCAAACACCGTTCAAATAGTACGAGGACACTCTATCAATTAAAAAAATTCTAACTTGCATGAATAATTTGAAGGAAATCGCATAGTTTTCATATGAAATCTGAACCAGCCTAAATCTCGCTACGCTACACTTTCAGAAGATTGGTAATACTTTAGTAACTACTTTTGGGACTAACCCAGAATGACAAAGGAGGGTTGTCAGACATACAGGGGTCACTGGGGTCAGTATAAAACGCTTTTTAGCCCACGTGATATGAGTTAAACTTCGCAAAACTGCTTAAAAGCATAGATTTTCGACTATTTGGACCACTGCCAAGGCGACGATAAGCGCATATTCACAGATAAGTGCTAGATTTAATAGCATTGACAATTCAGTCCACAAAATTCGTGATGTAGGGAAACAAATTTGAAGAGTGTGGCATTCATTACAAGGCCGAAACACGACTTTGAAATCCCGGTCGCAGGTTGGTTTCGTAAGGACCACGCATTTTACACCACAGTTTTAAGGCGGGTTAAATTTAATGCACCACCGAATAAGCTGAAATTTACCACAAATTTAGACTGAATTCACCACCGGATGAATTTTTTCCAACTTTGGCCTTTTTAACCATATATTAGGATGGTGGTTACCACAAATTTAGATGAGCTGCCACTAACGTATTTCGTGAATACAGGATTATAAAACAATAATATAATTACAATAATCTCAAGGAATCATGGAAATTTCCTTATCGTTTCATGTGCATATGTATATATTTGTGTATTGTTGACTAGACTATGGGCATGAGAACTGACTGAATATGTATTACCATTCGGCTGGTCATCACTCTCACAGTCAGTTGTCCTGCAGTTAGAATATATCCATCTGAACAAAAATTTTTAAAACCAAAGAAATGACGTGTTCCCAAGTTTTTAACTGGACAAGTGATGCCGATTCCTCTCTTTCCGAGGAAAATTCTCCCAAATCTAAAAAAAACCCAGGCGTAGTTGCGAGTGGTCTGTTCTTCGTCAATTTGATAGTAAAAAAGAGGCAGAGACTTACTTAAAAGAAGAGGGACAATGGATTTATCACTGTAAATATTCTACTGAAGGAGTAACCGTGAAGTACAATTGTCGATCTTCCTCTGCATGTTCTGCCAAACGGAGACTAATTTTGAAGGCCGTATCTTCCATTGTCGAACTTCAAGCCACCATAGAACAGCATGACCATGCTTTAAAAAAGCAAAAAGGTACGTACCTCAGACTCCAAGCTATTCATGTATGTGCATTTAAAGTTGAGTAACGAACGTTTAATATTATCTTAGGCATCAGCCAAAATATGAAAGATGAAATTGTCAAACTGGTGGAGAGAGGGATTAATAAACCAAAAATGATTCTGACCGAGTTACGTAAAATCAATGTAATAAACCCGACCACAATCCAACTAAAAAACTTTTTGGCGTATTATTTTAAATTTCTATTCGAAGGCCTTAAAAAGGGAACGAAAGGAAACTTGGATCCGAAAGTGCTAGTTGCAGATTCAGCTCAGGCTATCACCATTGGGTTTGAAGATGTCTTCGGAACAGACTACAAAAGGGTGCACTGCTGGTTCCATGTAACTTCAAACATCGACAAAAAGCAATCGCTAGTTAAGGATCGAACAATTTGGCAACAATTAAGGCAGGACATAATAAGGCTTCAATTAGCTCGGTTCCCTGAGGAGTTTGAGGTCGCAAAAAGTTTGTGGATAAAAAAGTACTCTGCAGACGCAACTTAAGATTTTGTGAATTACTTCAGAGATGAATGGCTAAACAGCCGAACAAACTGGTATGAAGGATACGCCCCTGGGTACCCGTCCACAAATAATGGACTTGAGTCAACCAATGCTTGGATTAAGCAGCAAGGCACCTTCAGGGCAAGGTTGCCAATGGGGGAGTTCATTTCCTTCATGTTAAGCCAAACCAAAGATTGGTCGTAGCAGAGGGACCCAATACATGAGAACCATAAAACTTTTGCAGAAGTTCCCATTATCTCACTCAGGCTGGAGACCGATGCTTTCAATTGGAACAAATCAAAACCAAGTACAAGGTATAAGACATCTGAAGATGAACTTTATGTCAGGCATTATTTTGTATCTGCTTCAAATCTTGGAGAACTTTCGACTCGTACGTGGCCAGCACCACAAGATTATGGATGGTTAAATTCCACACCAATCAATGGACTAATTCCACATGTTCATGTCCCGTTTACTTAAAAGAACATGTTTGTAAGCATATACTTGGTTTAGCAATTCAGAATACGCTTTATGATGTTCGACCGGAAGCCAAAACCGTTCCATTAGGTGAAAAGCGTAAAAGCGGTAGGGTTGCGAAAGCTAAAAAAGCGCTCATTGTTATTTAATTTCAGGTGTATTTTTAAAAAAAGACGTCAAAGATTATAAATAAATAAATCATATTGTAAATTAAATATTGTATTTATAATTCTATACCCATGAAATACGTTAGTGGCAGCTCATCTAAACTTGTGGTAACCACCATCCTAATATATGGTTAAAAAGGCCAAAGTTGGAAAAAATTCATCCGGTGGCGAATTCAGTCTAAATTTGTGGTAAATTTTAGCTTATTCGGTGGTGCATTAAATTTAACCCTTTTAAGGCATGAATGGGAGAAAGTGTGAATACGACCGAATTATGTAGACAATATTACGGTACTTTCAAAAAATATAGCAGTTTGAATAATTCTATCTCCCTGTTTCTTTCAGATAATAAAATTCATTAGTGGTTGATAGGGAGAAACTTTCTGGACACACTCTAGGTTTGACATTATTCTGCAAAACCCATGTTGGTCAAGCAAACAATCAACAATTTTACATATGTACATTCATCCAATGCCCGTTATTTGGTTGTCGTCCTTCTAATGATGTAAGAGAAACGGACGGACGAAGAAGCTTATGCAAATGTAGATATTATTTTAATAAAGGACTTTTGTAGTTGCTTGATGATTATGTAAATATACATGTAACACACCGTGCTCGACACTATTTCAAAACTTGTGAGATTTTATATCCATACACGGAGAAAATACAAAAGTAATATAATACTAATATAAATATGTACCAATGTAATATAATACATATATTTAGTACATTTCATTAAGCTACATATATACTTATGTAAGAAACCCCAGATTTAGAAAGCTAACTGTAATAAATCTATCATTGACACATAAATGGCCAAGAAGACGTAGTTGTTTATATTTATTTGTATGATATGGTTCGCGCAAATACGCAGTGTGGACATAAAAGTGTTTCCGCATTTATGTAAATAATTATGAATATGCAAATATCAACCAGTCATTTTACATAACCATCGTCTCAATTTTTTTTATACGTATGTACATACATATACAAAATTATTAACCGTTAACGTCTGTAAAAGAACCCGTGCAAGAAGAATGTGCAAGATTTTCGGTAGTATTTTATTTTGGATATGATAACGATCCGATCCTCTCAGCGTTGATTTTAATGCATGAAATACATATATACTGTGAAAATTGCCAGAAAACAATCTCATCCTAAATGCAAGGCCTTATCTCCGATAAGGTAACACGGAAATACACACATTTACACAGACCACATCGGTGCCTTCTGGACTGTTCACGGTGATAAGTAAGTACCTTTCCGTTTGTCGGTTCATTCGAAGACAGGAAGTTGTCAAGCAAAGATCCAGCCGATTTTTTAAATTTCAGCCAGAAATTTCACTTCGTAAAAATGCGTTTTCTTAATTTACCAGGCGTATCCCAATTAACAAGCTACTTTAAAGGGTAAAATATCAATATCTCCTGTACGTAAATACATACGTATGCCTGCATGTGTGTAAGAAGCAAGTTAATTGTGTATTTAATCGTTACGGTATAAATAATTGAAAGTTTGTAACAATTTTTTAATCCGTGAATTTACAATGATTTGTTTACTTAAATTCTAGCCCTACCATCACGACGTCAACGGCCATCTCCGAAGACGACAACCCCGCCCTAAGGAACGACGACAACTCCACCCCGACAAACAACGACAACCCCGCTCTAGCAAACAATGAGACCCCCACCGTAACAAACAATGAGAACCCCGACCTAACAGACAATGAAACCCTCAATGAAACCCCCGTCCTAGCAAACAATGAAACTCCCACCCTAACAAACAATGAAACTCCCACCCTAACAAACAATGAAACTCCCACCCTAACAAACAATGAAACTCCCACCCTAACAAACGAAACCCCCAGCCTAGCAAACAATGAAACTCTCACCCTAACAAACAATGAAAACCCCGCTCCAACAAACAATGAAACCCCCACCCTAACAAACAATGAAACCCCCACCCTAACAAACAATGAAACCCCCACCCTAACAAACAATGAAACCCTCCCCCTAACAAACAATGAAACCCCCACCCCAACAAACAATGAAAACCCCGCCCCAACAAACAATGAAACCCCCACCCCAACAAACAACGACGTGATGGAGAATGAACATGCTCTTTCCAAAGAGGAAATTTCTCCCCTTTTTAATCCGCTTCTTCCGATTGAAGATGCCAACAAATTGGCTCAAATCGACGCCAGATTGGAAGAACATACCAAATTTTTCGCCCAGCACGAAATTATGCGAGCATTGATGGAAGAAGAGGAAAATGAATTGAGGGCTAGAGAAGAAAGTGAAAGTAGCGAAACTCCTCAGCCCCCAAGAACAAAACTCCCCAAGATTATTCGAAGTCCGGGTGAAAGTTTTAAAAGCATTTGGTCAAGCGTAACGTTTTGGAATGGGAAAGGCAAGGAATGTACCCCGAAAGGAAGTGAGAAAATAGTGTAAAGTTATAGGATACCGCAAGAAATAACAATTGTTAAAAAACACACGAAATTTCAGTTTCATTTGCCATTTTTTGTATGGGCAACGCAAAACGAAAATGTTTAGTCATTAGAAAAAATCGTACATACATACTATTTAATGCAATAAAAATTCTATTATACTCAACCGTGCACAGATTCCTTTAATATATTTTTTAACAAAGAGTTACCCTTAATTTTACAAAGCGATAAGTAATAAATTCTGTAAATTTTCTGGCTGAACGGTAAAAACCACATACATTTATTCAACTTACTATGATAAGTCTTTCTATCCAAAGAAGAAAATGACTGCCAACCTCAGATAAGTATATAACCTTACCGATAATGGCTTTAGTAGCACAGAAACTCATGGTAACAAATTATTTATACAGGTAATTAAAGGTGATATGTAACGTAAAAGTAGGTCGGGGAGTAAAATAACCAGAGTCCGGTTAAATATGTTCTTAAAAACCTCGAAATATGTATGTAAAATGTTTACTCAAATCGCCGAAATATGTATAAAAAAAAACATTTTTTTATTCGTTTTAAATTACTTCAAATTCAACATATTTGACCGCAAGAGTGACAAAAAAACTTTTGCACTTCAAAGTGACAAGCTAAAAACATTTCCATAATCACCGTTTCTACGATAATCGGACAAATAATGTATACGTTGGTAAAACTACAATCGGTATCCACAGTTGTACCTTACGCAAGCAATGGAGAAAGTTCGATATTTATTAATTATTTATGTACTGTGAATTTGTGAAGTTTTTCTAAAAGAATATTTTTTTTTGAAAAAAATGGCTGAAATATTTAAAAATAGATTTATGTGTATCAAAAAAGTATATTTTTTGACAAAATCGCCGAAATATGTATGTAAAAACATATTTATATTTACCAAAACCTCGAAATATGTAAAACATGTGAAAATATTTTCATGGGATAATAAAGATAATAAAGATATTTTCATAGGGCGCCAAGGCTCCAATGATATCGTGCTTATGTTATACGTGTTAAAAAGGGGAGAGTAGGGTCTAGAAAATCGCAATTTGTTTGTTACGTAATTTATGGACGGCCCCCAAGTAGATTAAGGAAGCAACGCCATATACACCTACATAATTATATGGTTCAACGAATAATGTAAATTTGAAAATAATTTTTACACATCTCAGCTTGCTTGAATTTTTCATTCTGCATTTAATTAAAATTAAGGATAAGTATGAATCAATTAAATACTTAAAAGGGTTGCTTAACAGTTATTTAAACTTTACAGATACATACAAATTAAGTGTTGATAACGATGTATTTAATAGTAAATTTAGTATGACTGGATGAGCTAATTATTACCACGCATAGTATCAAATTTACAATATTTCACGACTTCATCGAAAGAAGATGTAACTAATTCCTTTGCTTTACACTCTGCTAATTTTGTTCCCTTTGCATTCTTCTCAATTACTATTTGTTGTTTTACACGGACTCCGTTTAAGATGGTATTTTCTCCCTTGATTAAAACGCTGTCGAACGAGCTATTTTTTACGCTTGAATTTTTTGCGAGAATGGTTAGATCCCAGGTTTGATGATTCTTTTTTATAGCGTCCAATTTTGTTTGATGATTTCTGGAAAGCGCAATATTTTCTACTTGGTGATTCGACCCATCCAGCCAGATCCCCGTGTCGACATAGTTTCCCGAAACATTTGTAATCATACCTGTTCAAAAATTACTTCATATAATATTCAGACAATAATGTAAAACTTTTAAAAATTATTCATTTATTGTTCATTTATTCAAAATTTGAAAATGAATGGGCATTCATTATTCATTTTTATTCATTTCATCTACAATTTTCAATACCAGTTGGATTTCTCAATATGTGTGAAGTATAGCGTCAAAAATGAGAAATGAATCCAATTATTCATTCATTCTTCATGAATATGAAACGAATATTTGCTTAATATTCGTTCATTAAAAAATTTTGCAAATTTAGAAGTGAAATATTCACTTATCATGAACTTAGTGAATAATGATTAATTTATTCATTCTGTATTGAATAAATGAACATGAACAGGTATGTTTGTATTAGTACATACAATCACTAGACGTTGGCGAAGTATACACCGCGGCGGACGGAAAAGAGGAAAATTTGACAATAATATTGTCCACTTTGTTGCGACATCCTTCCAAAATGATCCCAGTGTCGTCCTCCCGATCGGAAATTGTGACGTTGGAAATGGTACAGTCATTCGCAAACACATGAAATCCTACCGAATCTTTACATTCGATCAGAGTTTTCTCACTTTCCCCAATAATTGTTATGGCGTCATTGTTCAAACAGTATCCGCCCGGGTAATTTCCCGCGCTCAGATTAATGGTGCATCCAGACCTCATGTAATGCACGCATAATCGTAGTTCTGCATCATTTGAGACGTTCGCCGTGGTGTCATGGATAGTAATCTTATCCCAAAGATTTGTGAATGGGTCGAGTTCCGAAATATTAAGGAATCTCTCGGAAACATTCGTTTTTGTAAGATGGACAATAAGTTTCTTAATATCCTCCTCGAGAAGGGGATGTTTCTCGATTAGAGTTCGGTGTGTATCAGACAGTAATCTGTGAAATATGGTTTTTCGCATTGCAATAATCAAAACCGGAAGTTCAAAAGATACACAAAAGATTGATTTTGTTAAGATTTGAACAGTTCGTAGAGCTGATGAGCGCAAATTGTTCACTCAAAAGATTTGTAGTTTGTTTTAGAAATTCAAAGTAAAAATAAATAAAATTCTTTAGTTTTTAAAAATTACTAGTCTCAGAAAAATTGTGTTCGTATAATTTTTAAAAAATTAATTGATTCTTTTGGATAGAAATATTGGTGACGTTGCGCTGATAAAAATTTACTATGAAAACTAAATAGTTTTAAAAGATCAAACTTGTTTGCCTCTCGAATTTCCGGTTTTGATTATTGTTACTCTTTCTTATTTTTTGAGATGTCAAGTAAATTGACCACTTCCCAAATAATTAGGCCCAGAGAGTAGAGATCTCCTTGAAAGGAATAGTTTCCAGTCTCCACTTCCGGTGCAAAATAGTCTTGATTACTATCATTTTCTTGGGAAAGTGGCGAAATTATCCTGGATAGCCAAAAGTCTACTATTTTTACGGGTAAATCGTACTCCTTAGAGAACAATATATTTGTAGGTTTTAAATTGCCGTGAACGATATTATTTTCGTGGAGAAATTTCAATCCAGAAATCAAATCGAGCACAATTTCCACTTGGTAGAGTTGTTGCACAATACTTATTTCCCTTGATTTTTCTCGGTTTATCCAGTCGTTTATGTTAAAACCACATAATTCCATCTGCACACAAGTGATAGAGTTGGTTTGACTTTCAAAGAACTCCGAAAACGATGGGGGACATATTTCCAAAATTTCCCGTAATTTTTCCGGTTTTAGTTCTTGCTTATTTGAAAAGTAGACAACTTTCACAATGTTGGGATGAACTGGTAAGTCTGCTAAATTAGGGATGAAATCTATTTTTCCGTGATTCCTGAAAAATTTAATGCAGGTACACCTACTCGAGCTGTATTCGGCCTTTAGTACTACACCATATGCACCATGGCCTAAACATGAAACGTAACTTTTTACTAGTTTTAGGAAATTTATATTTGTTGGAACCGAATATGAGGTTGCCATGGTGAAATAAATAATTTGGATTTTTTGTGCGACTGTCCGATCACAATGTACAGGAGAAACTGTGACATTATACATACACTCAATTGTGCATGATGTGGCAAAAAGTGATGTCACCTTGAACGGTGAGGGACCATCCATATATTATGTCATAAAAAATTCTCGATTTTAGCACCCACCCACCCAACGTAAACATTAAGGGATAGGGAATTTTAACATGGGAAAGATAGGAAGACCTAAACCACCCACCCACTAAAATTATGATGTAATAAATGCACGTTCCCTAAGCAGCATTATCTGTTGTATGTTTATAGTTGGCTTAATGTGAGATACATAAAGTGTAATCTTTAGTGAAGTGGGTACACACACTGCTTGTATAGATGGACAATTCAATTAACCTGTTTCATACTACTAATTTTTTAATAAAAGTTCCCTTCTTTACCTATTTTATATTTACACCTGATAGCAACCAATTAAAATTTCATCAAGTTGCCGAGTTTTGAGTTTTTTTTACGAAACTCCACTTTTTAATATTGGTACGTATAGGGAAGACTCCAAAATTCAGTAGAAAAATATCGAAAAAAATTCACTTTTTACCATCGAATGGAAGTACTTTCTCTACACAAATATGTGTAGTTTCGTAGCCAGGAGGTTAATAAGTACATGCCAGGAGTGTGCATAATATTCATGGTCCGACAAGTGTTCACATCTCAACAAAATTACTTTCACCGCAAACTAAAGTGGTCACTATACATTAAAAAATTTCCTCTTACCATGAACATCAGAGATGGCGAAAACATGAACCCCATTTGAATCCCTACCATCCTACCACTTTTAAGAAGATCCCATAATTACCAAGGAAAATATTATTGTATGTATCACAAAATTTGTACACCCGTTTCTACAAATTATATTTCGGCAACCCTGATGAAGACAATCTACTATTTTGGTAATAACTAAACCTATTTAGTTTTTAATATCAAGTCCTCATTCCGTAAATCAAACTGCAATATGACAATGCGAAGATGGAAGAAAGTCAAATCATATTTATATCAACAAAATGTGTCATAATTAAGTTTTTGATATTTCTTTTAAAAAAAATTGTGCATACACTCAAAACTCAGGGAATTAAATTTCCGTTTCAAATTATTCGAAAACACTATTAAGCACTTTTATTAAGGATTTTGGAGTAATGCGGAGTAATGCACTGGTTTTTTCTTGTATATAACAATTTTACCCTTTAAGAGTATCGTATCAGTATAAATTATCATATTTGTAGTGTCAAAAGTTACAAATTTGTTCAAGTAAATCCATTCTCGGCAAAAATTTGTTGAAGGCAAGCTGATGAAAGTTTAGGTGTCCGAGGTCTTTCAGGATCGCTATGGTTTACGTAGACCACTCCAAAATTTACGGTGTATCCGAGCGACTAAAGAATTAAAACAAATTCAAGGCTGATTTTTGACAGTCATTCTCGAACCATGCAAATGCATTATCACAATGTGATCGATTTTTCGGAAGTTACTGTTCACCTTCATTCATTTGAGTGATTATAATAGTGAGTAATAGTGAATGAAAATGAATTTCCTGTGAGTTGAGTGAAAATGAGTGAAAGATTACGTCATTTCAGATGAATGACTGTGAATGACAGGATTTCTCACTCATTTTTCACCCTATGCTTAATACCAGGGTTCGCTACCCCGGGTTTTTGTGGGTTGGGGTTTATGGGGTTTTTGTGGGTTTTTGGGGTATCAAATCTCCGGAAAAACCCTAATACTTAATTGGGTTTTTGCGGGTTTTTGTGGATTTTTGTGGGTTTTTCCGGGGTTTTTGTAAGATTTTGGGACAGATTGAAACAAAATCCTTTGAACTACAACTTAAATCAATGCTAATGAAATTGACGGATTCATCATGAAATTTTGAGAATTTTCATGTGCGACTTGAATTTCCAAGTTTGCATGCGAAATATGAATTTTCGATTCAACAGTCCAACTCAATGATAACGCTTAAAATTGCATGTCAAAATCGTATATTAAATTACTTTTTATCTAATATATAATTTAAAGAATTTTGGTTCAACCTGCCCCAAAATCTACAAAAACCCACAAAAACCCACAAAAACCCCAAAAACCCCGGAAAAACCCGCGGGGTTGGGTTTTTCTAGAAAAACCCCGGGGTTTTCCGAACCCTGCTTAATACACGAGGCGAAGTAAGGAATTATGTTGGATGAAGTGACATGCAATGAATCTGAACGAAAATGACTTAATGTGAATGAAAATCTTCAGCCAGTAATCGGGATGACTGACTTTTGAATGAAAACTGAATTTGTATGATTACCACAAGGGCACAGCATATGACTTCCGGAAGTCAGAAGCGGCTATTTTTGGTATGGATCGGAGGGAAAAATTTGTGCCGGAAGCGGCTTCACAGGATGCCGAAAGCAAAAATTTGCGTCAGCAAGGGAGGAACTGGAAGCAAAATTTTGCATCTGAAGCGGCGCCACTGGAAGCCAAAATTTTGGTCAGAAGCGAAAAACCCCGTACGTGCCTTGACCACAGCAATCACAAACTTTATGCATCCCTTTATGTGTATGTACATACCCACTCAAACGAGTCGAGAAGTCCACACGCCAGGTACATGGTTACCCCAACACCATCGAGTCTGACAGCCTTCAGCATTTCGTTGATATACCCGCGATGAAACTGTACCCTGGAAACATCCTCCACTCCTGCGTTTGGATAGTCGGGATATCCGTTTTCCATTATGTAAATTTCTGGAGATCCATACCTCTCTTTGATCCAGTTCAACGTTTTTCTCAAACCCCAGGGGACCACGGTTATGTCGTTTCTTGCACCTTGGGGCCATTTCGGATCAACGGATATCTTAGCGCCGAGTACCAAACCGATTAGGTCTCCATGCAAAATAGATGACGTCAATTTACTCGGCTCCACTAGGTATGTCGAGTAGTGATTTAGGCCCCAAAAATCGTAGCTTCCTAGATTTTTTAAAGAGATTTGGCTTGACCGCGACAATACTCGTACATATGCATGCATATGTAGTTCTCGCTGCATTTTCATTAAGATACCTAATCGAGGTTTGCGAGTAAGGGATAGGATACGTACACAATATGAATAGAAAAACCCGCTGGGTCCATATAATAAGGTAGTTTCAATCGATAACAAATTTAATTAGTAGATACGAAATTTGCAAACGGCACCATCTCACAATGCTCAGCTTTGGCGGGGTGATTTGCTTAGAGGATAAAAAGAGGATAAAACGCGAAAAAGTTGGCAAATTTTTCAGTTTCCAAATTTGCTGCGCATTGTTCCCGCTTTAGATGCAAATATCTCCGACAAAACTGAGCATTGGCAGATAAGAGCATGCTACTAATGAAAGTGGCAGTTGGTTTATTGTCTATAAAAAATGAATGGTAACAGGAAATTTAGTGAAATTTATACAAATTATAGATGGGGACTGTAGCTAAATACTTATAATTGTCCACCAATGGTAGAAACACTCCATTCCTTTCGATTGAGCTAAGCTTTTTGCTAACGGTCGCCAAATATTGCGAGTGTTTTTTCGATCCCTGATAAAAACTTTTTCGTACGTTTGGCAAAACCGTTTTGCGACTTCGTCGGAAGTTTTTGCTCTCATTTTAGAACGAATAGAGATAACGGATTCAGAAAGTTGATTAAATTCTGCATGAGACGTAATAGGCTTGCAACATTTAACATGTATCATAAAACAATTAAGAGCGGGCTAACTGCCACTTTCGTTAGTGTCATACTCTTAGTTCCATTTTAAAATTTCATGCTAATTAAATCCGTGATCCATTTACACCACCTTGGTCAAAATCTGTGAGAATACGTTGGGAAAACTCCATTATCAGTAAAACTCCTAAATTCTTACTCAATAAACCCCGAGTTCGGAATACATACCCTGATTTTTCTAAACTACATATTAATGTCTTCACTCGAAATTAACTGAGGAATTGTAACCTTTTATTTCGACACTTTCTTCCAAAGTGAATTCCACCGGGGCCGATGTTAATTTTAATTTCCTAAGTTTTCCCAGCAGTTGTTTCGTTTCGTCGTTATAATTCCCAAAAACTATGGGAAATGCGAAGGATCCCCACTAATCAGAGGAAACGTTTACATTGGTAATGGGACATTTTTTCAAGCTGTTGTGCAGAAAATAATTAAGCGTGATGGATTTGATTTGAATTTCAGCCCGCTCGCAATATTAATCAAGTGGGCACGTGTATTTATAAGGCAGAAATTCCATCACGCTTAATAATTTTCTGTATAATACATACGTACACCTCGATTTTTCAACGAGTTATATAAAAAAATCAAGCCAAAAATTACACTCTAAGAAACCCGGTGACTAAGTTATTACCAGGCGGGGTATCTATGTGACTCTACCGCATGGTAATTTATTTATTATTGAGTGGTAGAAAATTAATTACCAACGGGTAATATTTTCAAATTTCGCGATCGGGGTCATTACCGGGTTGGTAATAAAATGTCTACCACTCAATAATAAATTAGTTACCATGCGGTAGAATCACATAGATACTCCGCCTGGTAATAACTTAGTTACCGGGTTTCTTAGAGAGTAGGAATCACGTTGCACTCATCTTTCCTGTTGAACGGAGTGTTTGAAAAAAAAAATATTGGGTGGCAAAGTTCATTGGTAGGATTAACTTAAAAATTGAACCTTCCCGCCAATACGTTCCTTCAAAGGGACTATTAAATTGAGCGATAAATAAGTGCCACGTCACTCCTACCTAATTGCTAGAGTATTTTTTTGATATAACTCGCTCGGCAATCCCGACTTATGTAGTTTTAACAAAGGTTTTAATGTGACTAGTGCTTCATTGAATAAGCTATCAAGTAATGAAATGAAGATAGTAATTTACCATAATCTGCATCCCATATTCAGCTATCTTTCGGTGAGCCGGATTCTGTGGATCTTTTGGCTCCAACCAGTATGAGAACAAAGCCATTCCCACTTTCCCGCCTTGGTGGAGACGAAAAACCCGGTCATAGAGGCGGTACACCTTCGCATGTGACTTTACAATGTTGCGGGCACTATTTAGGGCTTCATTAATATTTTTGTGTCCGGGGGCATATTTCTATGTAAGATTGTTAAAATTCATTTTAATCTTTTCTACCCATATTCAGAAATGGGATTAGCACGTTGTTTATATATGCAAATTTTGGCTGTAAAACATTCAATTAACTAGGTCCAATTGACAAAAATATGTAGACTCACCCCGGTTAAGTATCCATGCACACACATTACATTTGGCTCGTTAAACGTAACCCATTTCCGTATACGATCCCCAAACGCGTGAAAGGCGAGATTAGCAAAATTACTAAAGTGCTGGATAACTTCCTCATTTTGCCATCCACCAATATCCATGAGAGGTTGGGGCAAGTCCCTAGATGGATATTTTTAAAATCCATTAGGCTAATATTGTTACCATTGTCAAAAATTCTAAATACAGGTATCCAAATTTTTATGGTCTGTGCATTAAAATTAGACCCTTTTTGTATCTGCTTCTAGTGCTTCTTGTGAAGAATTCAAGCTAATTATAAAAAACCGGCCATAAATATGACCAGGACATTAACCGATTATATCAAAGGAAGTTTAACTAAAAAATTACAAATTCCACATAAACATACCATTGATGTAGCGTGACGATAGGTTCGATACCGTTGGCAAGGAGGAGGTTAATCAGATTATTGTAGTATTGGATTCCGGCTGGATTTATGTGATCTATCCGTCCCGTGGGAAGAATTCTGCTCCAGGATAAACTGAAACGATAAACATTGGCCTGCAGAAAGCAATGATCAATTTAATAATGACAACTTTTGAGATTATTATTTAATTTGAAGAAATGCAAATTACTCGATGTTTAAATATTTCCCACATACCCCGATATATTTGAGGAGCGAAACGTCATGGTCAAATTTGTGGTACGAATCGCAGGCAATGTCACCATTTCTCTTGTCTGGAATTGGGGATGGAAATCGGTGGACAAATGTGTCCCAAATATTTACTCCTTTGCCTGTAGCGATTCATTTAATAAATAGTTCATAGTAAAATAAGGAATGCGACGTATTTCGATGCTCATCTCAATGTATTGAGCGTCACGAAGGTATTGATTTCTTGGTAGTAAAGTTCCTTCCATTCAGTATTAAAATTATACCAATCCGTACAAATTTGCAAATGAGTACGGAGCTATCACTGTACTGCAATGCATTACTTTACTTATCTATACCAATTTGGTATAGGCATACATGAATACCGTTTGGTATTATTTTAACACTGGATTTACAAGAGTTTGAAAAATACGCTGTGATTCAACGTACACTCTTAAAAATCCAGTTTTTAAGTATGGTGGAGTACCAAGCGGTATTCACAAATGTATGACACAACCAAGGTGTTATTGATAATACTTAGCTCAGTATGTACAAATCAACAATTTCATTGGCAAATTTGTCCTAGTCGGTATAATTTTAAAACCTGGGAGTAGAATATTTGATACCGAGATATCATCATTAAAATTGATGCCAAAAAATTGTCGGTAGATTAGCATTATCATACCCACCGTCTTCGTTCCATGCTCCTTCAATCTGAATTTAACAAATACTTCTCAAAACAATTGTTTGCATTTTTACATATGTTATCTGTGGACAAATTTACCTGATAACTAGATGTGGAAAAGCCCCACTGGAAACCTGGGGGGAAAACGTCATATAGAAATGCATCCTCCCCACAAACAGAGTTTGACACCAATATGGCAAAAGTGATTAGATTAGCAACTTTGCAAAATATCGACATATTTGTCTTATTGGTTTAATCCAAAGTGAAAATTTAGTATATTTAGCGACTCGCCAGTTGAGTGTTAAATATCGTCGCAAATTTTGCAACATCTGCTCATGAATATGCATAAGTCGGGAAATTATCCATTGTTCTATACGCAGAATGAATACAAAGTTGCAATACCTGAAAAGTTTATTGCGTGCACAATAAGAAGAAAAATAGACAAGATTTTATTACGTCTGACATCAATCGGTCAGACAGAAATGTACCCCAAATTCTGGGAACGTTTATGAAATACGTGGCCCAAAAATTGGTGAGTATTTTATATCTTATTGTTCAAATTGACTCGCAACGCAACAGCTCAACCATTGTCTGGCCCTAAAATTCATTAATCTGTGTATGTTCAGACTTACATGCAAATCAGGTATGGCAATGCTATTCTCGGTATTAACGCTTCTACCACTTGGTTCTGAAGCTATACAGGTGATTATTTTTTTACCCATTTGGTAAATTAAATTTTAATAGCGTGACATTATTCTTACACGACACCGCATACTATCGAATTTTTATAGCCGGTCACCTCATTTGCTTATTTTTGACGCATTCGCGTGAGGCATAGAGTTCATTCAACATGGAAAGCCCGTATCGCAGAAAATGGGCATAGTGAGATTTATGCAAATGAGGTGAGACGCCTATGTAAATATGAGGATAGTATAATACTTAACGGTACTACTTTCGTAAAGTCATACAGAAATGAGTACATCTTCTTATTTTAATTTTATTATCGTATTATTTTAAAACTGAATTTCTAATAGTGTGCATACATTTTAAGAGTGTTCATTACCTTGATAGTCGTGTTGGGTTTTCAAACAGGCTAACCCTGAGGAGGGGAGCTTGCGAGGTTGATAATAACAGATCTTGATGCCCTTTGGATATGTGGTAGGGTCCCATGAGTGAACTAAAACCCTGAAGTGGTTTGACTCCATGGCCCCATTTGCGCCCGCCACACCCACTCAAAAATGTCCAAAAAACGCTTTCACTCCAGTTTTCACTCATTCAAATCCACGCCAAAAATCCAATTTTACTCGGATTTTGAAATTTCTTTCACCATTACACTCCCAGATAGTTGCTTTCTGCAATCCAATATCAAACTCAATTTTTTCGAAATTTTTAGTATTTTTAAAAATTGCAATTCGGAATGAGGATTGTTGTAGTAATCAACAACGCAAATTATGCCTACGAAATAGTCATCAGCAAAATTGAGTTTGATATTGGATTGAAGAAGGCAACTATCTGGGAGTGTAATGGTGAAAGAAATTTCAAAATCCGAGTAAAATTGGATTTTTGGCGTGGATTTGAGTGAGTGAAAACTGGAGTGAAAGCGTTTTTTGGACATTTTTGAGTGGGTGTGGCGGGCGCAGATGGGGCCATGGAGTCAAACCACTTCAGGGTTATAGTACACTCATGGGTCCCTACCACATATCCAAAGGGCATCAAGATCTGTTATTATCAACCTCGCAAGCTCCCCTCCTGAGAGGTTGTGCAGGATTGCTGTTTTGTCGTTTTGATTGTATGTATGTAGATGGATCACGTGTAATATATATTTCCAATCAAAGTTTCAATAACAATTACAAAAACTATTCGAACGCAACCTCTTTAAAATTAGAGACATTAATACATACATGTCACGAATTTAAATTTTCTACGGTCTTTTTATCTAAAATATTTCTCTTATTTGGAACTCATAAATGTACCCAACAAGCTAAAGAACGGTTAATTTTCAATATCTGAGTTGTCCTAAATATACACTCTTAAAAATAATGTTGCGCCTATTAGAATATGTACAAAAATACAATCTAATCCTCAGTCATATACATATTAGCTACAGTATACTAAATCCAGAGTAAATTTTCCATTTTATCGAGTTAACTCTGCCTTTGGATTAACTTACACTCAAAACAAAACGGTGTCAATATATGACTTAACCGCCTTGGTTACAATTGTGATTCCGAGTAGTAATGAATTTTTTCCGTCCGGTCATAACATTATACTACCGGTATCAAAATCATCAAAACTCGGATTCAACATTGTAACCAAGGCGGTTAAGTCATATACTGACACCGGCGGTGTTCATTCGACAAATTTTTATTTTGAGTGTACTTGTTACAAGTTTGAGAGTGTTTTTATGTAAGGCTTGCCCAAAAATTGTTGCATGATTTTGGTATAATATTGTACCTAAGAATTAGAAGTCTCAGACTTGCCAGTTGGTGAATTTTATGCAAAATTTTCTTGAGGGAATCCGTTATCGTAAAAGATTTGTTGCATGCAAGTCGCAGAAAGTTTAGGCGTCCGAGGTCTCTCCGGGTCGCTATGGTTGACGTAGACCACTCCAAAATTTACGGTGTATCCGAAGTACTACGAAAACTCAAATATTTAAAACACATTTTGAGCCATATTTTAGAATGTTGCATTAACAATGTGATTTAATTTTACGAATTTTTTCTCACAATTTTTCTTGCACATTTTGCAAGAAATATTGAAGTGGCTGATTGAATTGAAAATGCAAAATTTAAACAATCAAACAATGTTCGTACATACCCATCTGAATTGAGCATATACTTATCAAAACAATTATTTGCATACAGATATTTTTTTAAATCTTTGGACAAAATTACCTGATAACTTGATGTGGAAAAGCCCCACTGGAAACCTGAAGGGAAAACGTCATATAGAAATGCTTCCTCCTCACAAAAAGATTTTGACACTAGTGTCACAAAAGTGATTAGATTAGTAACTTTAGAAAATATCGTCATATTTGCTTGATTTGTTTAATCCATAGTGCAAATTTAGTATATTTATGTAGCGACTGTCCCGTTGAGTAAACTAGTTTGACAGCAAAATATCGTAACATTTTGCAACATCTGCTCATGAATATGCATACATTGGAAAATTGTCCATTGTTCTGTACGCCGCCGAATGAATAGCTGTATAGCGTGGAAAAATAAGAAAAATATATGTACCAGATTTTATGTATATGACATCAGTCAGTCAGACAAGAATGTGACCCTGATTCTAGGAACATTCATAAAATTCGTGGCCCAAAAATTGGTGAGGATTTTACCCCTCCTGCCCCATCGGTTACGGGTTACACCCTCTTTTTATTGAATTTATTGAACACGTTGACCAGTAACACCTATCTATGTATGCCCGACTACACAATGCAAGTGTCTGGCCCCAAAAGTCGTTAAGCTGTTGCATACAAATCTGTTATAGTAACACGAACACCGCAACTGGATTTTCGGTATCAACGTTTCTACCGCTTGGTACTATCCTTATTTATAAAGGTCTCCAACTTTTTACCCATATGGTAAAACGTCAATAACGAGCTTTTATTACTACACCGTCATATTACTTATCAATCACTTTCATAAAGTCATAAATATAGGAAAACTGCTTGGAATTATTTTAATACTGAATTTCTAAGAGTGTACGTACATAGATACATAAATAGATATTTACCATGAAAATTTGGTTGGGTGGGGTGGGTTTTCAAGAAGGCTAACCCTACTCACCTCTTAGGTACATTACTGCGGAATTGGATAGCGCTAGGCAAGCAAATGTTGAAACGTGCGTAGGGCGGAACCAAGCACGGCGATATTTTGGCCTCAAACTTCCCCGTTCTGTGGGTGTTTCCCTACTTTCAAGCAGAGGAGCTAAACACATACATAGCACGTAATAGTGCTTTTCCAGTCGAAACTATAAGCAATACTAAATAATGCAACGCATTTATTCGATTATGGTTATTCATGCATACATGTAAACAATTTGCATACCTACTTATCTATGAACGAGGTCACGAAAGATATGGATATTTACTAAGGGACTGTGCAAAACAATGTGACCGGTCAGAGAGGGTGTAAGCGCCAAGAAATGCACAGTGGGCCAGATTTAATAAATTTTGGCCAAAAATATACGGGAGCCGTATATGAGGAAACAAAAATTAGATTTTGGTGTGAAACAATAACCTAAAGCATATATTAGATGAGGAAATTTTTAATAGTCACATGACACACCCCCAGTGGGTGTGGCCCTCGGCGACTTTCCGATTTTAGCGAAACCATGTCATGTGATATATCATTTTTCTCAGCTCGACAAGGGGGTTTCGATAGAATGATTGAAATTTTGACACCACAGCCCCAGTGGGTGTGGCTCCAAGCAAATCGTCGATTTTAACGAAACCATGTCATGTGATATACCATTTTTCTCATCTCGACAAGGAGGTTTCGACGGAATGCTTAAAATTGGGAAACCGCACCCCCAGTGGGTGTGGTTCCCAGAAAATGTACGATTTTAATAAAACCATGCCATATGGTATATCGTTTTTCTCAGCTCGACAAGGGGGTTTCGACGGAATACCTAAAACCAACGTTCAGCGACTTTTCTATTTTAACTAAACCATGTCATGTCATGTAATACATCGTTTCTGTTAACTTAACGACGGGGATTTCGACAAAATAATTAGAATTCTATTACGTAAATTAAGAAACTACCACTTTCAAAAATTATAATCTGTCACAATTTCTTGTTGCATTCTTCAAAATTCCGAATTAGCATACAAGTTTTAAATTTATAGAAACACATTTTTATAATTGTAGTTTTAACAATTTTCGAGAAAAAATTTCTTTGTTCTTTCATATTTGATATAGCGTTAAAATTATAAGACAAAACTTCTTGGTAAATTTAAATTTAAGCACTCAAAACCACCGAAAACACGAGCCTTCATGGAAAAGCAAAAATACAGGTGGTGATATTTCGGTGTGGGAAAACAACTTTAAGTCGCTGAACGCCACACCCACTGGGAGCGTGGTTTTAAAGATCTAATAATTTTATCGAGATCCTCTCGTTGTGCTGAAAAAAATGATATATCACATGACATGGTTTCATTGAAACCGGAAGGGGCCGAGGACCACACCCACTGGGGGTGTGTTTCGTAAATTTTAAAAATCCGTCCAGGTTTTCAAAAGTTATGGCGGTTTCAAAAATAAAAACATGCAAATTTGGCGAATTTGGCGCCACGCCATGGCGCCAAATATGAGTTTTACACGGAAATATGAATGAATCCTTCATCTGGGGTCCTAGTAGATGCTAAAAAACATAGTGGGTACCCTGGACTCAAACGACAGGTCGTGAGTGTCCCTTGTCAGTTTAACACCGTTTACCCTTACTACCCGCAAAACCCTGGTTTTCAACAACACAAGCAAAAACCGGGGGTTTTATTTACTCTGCACGTCAGTGGGCGGGGGCGTGTTTCATGTACGGCCGCTACCTATGTATCTAAAAGGCAAGCCTGCATAAAATTAATTAAGTAAAAATGTTGTCTCATGTACATACATATAAACAACATATACATCCATGTATATAAATACTTATCTGCGCCTTATCTGCAACTATTTCGCACAAAAACACATCGTTTTTTGTTTTCAAAATGTCAATATTACCCAGAATAATCGCTGTGACCTGCCTACTTCACATATTTCCGTACGGTATCCATTCCAACCTTATATTCTTTTCTGAGTCAAAGATTTCCTTAGAAAATGACACACCCCAATCTTTAAATTGTGACCTACAAATTCTCCACAACTGTGAAATATTCTGTCTCAATTCTCAAAATTCCCCACTTGTTCAAACGTCCCACTCCAAAATCCTTCCAGATTTTTCCCCCTTTTCTTTTGTGAGTGAGTTTTTTAGTAAGTAGCCGTTGCACAGTCAACAAGTTAAGTTTGAATGAGAGCAGTCATCTTTTTATGATTTGCAATAAATAAGTAAAATTTAAGTAATTAATTCCAATCCCCATTTGTCAGTTAAGTTTGAGAGTTATTGTCAAAGCTAATAAATTGTCTAGTTTATTGATTAAACATTGAGGTTCGATTCAACCTTTTAGTCTTTGCACACACAAGTTTCTCATCACGGTCTTCGACACGATTTTAAGATAGGGTACTTTCTCGGGTAGAGTCTGCTATTCTACATTTTTTGGTGACCTCGACGTGATCGAGGCCCAGATGAGAAGAGTTCTGACCTTTGGAGGAGCGGATAAACACTGAGAAAGCGGTTTGCTACAGCCCAGGGTATCTTCCCAAAGTGTAGCGCGACCAGGTTGTAACGTTCCAGTAATCGAGTACCTGGATTTTACTAATAAGTTGTATTTTGTTGGGAGTATTTAGTCCACTGGAAGCTTCGAGATGGACAAAGGAATTGGAACCCCGACATTGCGCCGTGGAGACAGGCCTCGACAGCCGCCTGTGAGATTCGACCCGAGTTCAAGCAAGGAAGTGAAGACGACACAGGAAGACCTGGAATCGGAGGACGACGTTGAAGAACAACCATCCACCAGCCCTGTGAAAGAAGGAGCATCGTTTTTATCAAGGGTGTGGCCCTTTGGGAAGAAAAGTGAAGCTGCGGCTCCATCCACACGATCAAGTTATGAGAGGAAACGACTCCAGGCCAAAGCAGAGAATCAAAAGAAGAAAGCCTTGCTAATTGCAGAGATGAATGACCTGCAAGAGAAAATGGAAATTGAACAGTGTGAGGTCGACTCCATGGAAGAAATGCTCAAGAAGAAGATGGAGTTGCTCGACGCGAGTCATCCACTCCACATCCCTGAGAATGTTTTGAAGATGCATCAAGAAATTGCAGATTTAAGTCAAGAGCTTAGTGAGAAGAAAACTAAGACGAAGATTTCAGCCATTCGTTCCAAGAGGAAAATTGAAAAGAACAAAGGAGAAATCGTCTGCCTTGACATGGACATGGCACTAGATTTGGCTGAAATCGACGAGCAAGAGGATCAGCATTTGGGGTCTGACGACGATGATGCTGGTGCTGAAGGGATGACAAATGAATTTGAAAATCTGAAGAGAGATATCAGCCCTGTAAATGAGGATGGAGTTGGACTTGGTGTTGCAAGGAATCAGGATTCAAATGGCTCGTCGTCAGCATTGAATTCTATCGTTCAGTCCTTGCAAACACAAAACCAAGCATTATTGCAAGTTTTAAGTAGCAATAAGCCAACTCAATCAGTGACTGAGAAGATGCTGGTTCGTCAATCAATAGGACGAGATCTGCCCATCTTTAGTGGACGATCAGAGGAGTGGCCCTCCTTCATCGCCACTTTTAAGAGGACCACCGCGTCGTGTGGATTCACGGATGCGGAGAATGTCGAGAGGATTAGGAAATGTCTTCGAGGCGACGCCGCCAAGAGTGTGGAGTGTTTACTCGTTTCGCCGAACTCACTCCCAAAAGTGCTCAAGATTTTAGAAGAGAAGTACGGGCAAGCGGACGTTATCCTTGAGACAATGGTAAATAAGATGAGAACTGTCGGCGCTGTAAAAGAAGATAAGCCACAGACCATGATAGAGTTTGGCACCGCCGTCGTGAATTTGGTGGCGACCATCAAGAATTTAGGAGAACTGGATCATCTCAAGAATCCAGTATTATTACAAGAATTAGTGAGAAAGCTTCCCCCTACAACAAGGAATGTCTGGGAGAAGATTGTGATTTCCTCGCCACAGAAACCAACTTTAGAGGAGTTTGCTGATTGGGTGGAAATCGAAGTGAAAGTTGCGTGCCGAGTGTGTCCTCCGAAGCCACCCGACACCAAGAAAGAAGAAGACAAGAACAAGAATAAGTCCAAAGCTGCAAAAGACAAGTATGAAGAAGATGAGAAGATAGCAACTGCAGCTGGACTTTTTAGTGGACAGGCAAAGAAGTCATGTGTTTTCTGTTCCAGATCAAACCATGAAAGTAAGGACTGTTTCAAGACCGAGAAGATGTCTTGGGAAGAAAAGAGTCATCATTTAAGAAAGGCAGGTGCGTGTTTTAAGTGCTTCCGACCTGGACATAGGAAGGATAGCTGCAAAGTGAAAGTTAGTTGCGCTACCTGTTCTGGCCCTCATCATAAGCCGATGTGTTCTCAGCTTGATGTCAACAAGAAGCCAGATTTTGCAAGAGAAAGTCCTGTTCCCCCGACAGCATTACTACTGCAGTGAATGCAAATTACGCCTGCAGCAAGGATGTGTTATTGAAGACCTTGCTAGTTCGAGTTAAGGGCCCCTCCGGATCAGAGATGAAGTGATCCGTGACAGAGATGAAGAAAGTTAGGAAATTCAAGATTGAAATTCAAAGTTTAGATGGTCATTCCAGCCATATCATTTTGTTGAGAGAGACCCCTGTTATCTGTGGTGGAATTCCTCGCGTGCGACCAGGACCATGGGTGCAGGAATTAAGAAAAAAGAAGATTGTTCTCACGGATTGGGAGCAAAGCAAGATTGATAACCCGGATGTGCAAATTCTGATCGGAAGTGACTTCTGGGGAAAGTTGGTAACAAGTAAGCCAATTAAAGTGAGTTCGAGCTTGGTAGCAGTGAACACCGTGTTTGGGTGGACACTGAGTGGACAAGTGTCATCATCATCAAGAGACGGCGAGAATAATGTCGCGATGTCATGCGTGAAGTTGTTTCTGGGTCAAGGCGACGTGAGCGAGCTCTGGAACCTGGAAACTATTGGCATCAAGGATCCAGCCGAATCCAAGACACAAATTGAGAGAGACGCCGAAGCAGTTGTCCAATTTACCAAGACAGTTTCAAGAAAAGAAGACGGGAGATATTCCATCGCTCTGCCTTGGGTGGGTGGAGAGCCTGAGATCCCGACGAACAAGATTGTGGCGATGAAGAGACTGTCGTCACAAATACAGAAACTCAATCCAGAGAAGTTTGCAGTTTATGACAAGATTTTTAAGGCATGGATTGAGGAGAAGTTTATTGAAGTGGTGCCGGATGCAGATAAGAACAAGCCGAGCCACTACTTACCGCATCGTCCCGTTTTCAAACCGGAAAGCGTCACGACCCCAGTGCGACCGGTATTCGATGCGTCATGCAAAGTAGGAAGAGCCCCTTCACTCAATGAATGCTTGGAGAAGGGTCCAAATCTCATGGAGCTTATCCCTTCCATTCTCCTGCGTTTCCGAGAGAATGAGATAGGAGTGGTGTCGGACATCCGCAAAGCTTTTCAGATGATCGAGATCACACCACGAGACCGAGATTTTCTGCGGTTCCTGTGGTGGGAGGACTTCACCTGCTCGAAAGTTATCGAGTTCCGGCACAAGAGAGTCGTGTTCGGGATCAATTGCAGTCCCTTCATTTTGGCTGCTGTTTTAGAGAAGCATTTGAAGTCAGTAAAAGAAGAATGGCAACAAACCGCTAAGAAGTTATTGGAGTCACTTTATGTAGACAATTGCGTGACCTCCGTCAGAAATATTCAAGAATATGAAGATTTTAAGAGAGAATCCATTGACATCATGGAAGATGCGAAAATGGATCTTTGTCAGTGGGAGCGTTCATTTGTTGAAATGGATCAAGATTCCGACCAGCCGCCGGACACGATGGTGCTGGGACTGATTTGGAACAAGAAAGAAGACAGTTTAAGATGTAAAGTTAAAGTGCCAGAGTTATCTGAGAAGCTGACAAAAAGAGAAATTTTGTCAAAAGTTCAACAAATTTTCGACCCCATTGGATTCAGCAGTCCAACTACTTTGCAGCCAAAGGTCATGTTGCAAGAAGTGTGGGCAAATAAGTTGGGTTGGGACGATGAGCTACCCGATGACATCGTCACCAACTACAAGAAGTGGTACGAGGAGCTCGCCTGTCTCACAGAGGTCAGGATACCAAGATGGATAAGCTGTGGAGCAGACATGGAGAAGAAGAATATCCAACTCCACGTCTTTTGTGATGCCAGCCAGACTGCTTATGCGGCTGTCATATTTTTAAGAGTGTCAAGTGAAGATGATGTCAAAATCCATCTACTTCAAGCTAAATCGAGAGTTGCACCATTAAAGAAGACAACAATACCAAGACTGGAGCTATTGGGGTGCACCATCGCTGCCAGATTAAAGAACTCTGTCGCCACGTCCCTGAATATGAGAAATGTTCCCACGACCTTTTGGTCGGACTCCACCACCGCATTGTCCTGGATCCAGAGGAACAATGAATGGGGCACATTTGTGGGAAACAGAGTCAGAGAGATTTTGAAGATGAGTGATGCCAAGCAGTGGAAACACGTCCCTGGCAAATTGAACCCGGCGGATCTACCATCAAGAGGCTGTAACGCCAGAGAGTTAGTCCAATCAAGATGGTGGGAGGGACCCGACTGGTTAAGAGAAGATCAAAATAGTTGGCCAAGTCAAGATTTTGAAATTAGCGAAGAAGAAATAACTGCCGAGAAGAAGAAGTCATCTGCTGTAAAGATGACAGTGGTCACTCCGCATCAAGTGCCTTGGTATGCGGAGAGATTCTCATCTTTTTACAAGAATGTATGTGTCGTCGGATGGATGAAACGCTTTCACCACAACGCCACCCGATCAAGATGTGAAAGAATCCACAGCCGAAATCTTACCGTGAAAGAAGTGGAAGCGGCTGAAGCGACTATTATGAAGTTAATTCAACAAGATTCATTCCCCAAAGGTACCAACATCATTGGAGGAATTGAAGTTATTATCAGAGAAGATGGATTAATATGCGCCAAGACAAAGCTATTGCAAAGTGATGAAAGTGAAAGCTTCCGGAAGCCAGTCTTGCTCCCAAAGTTTCACCCAATTGTAGAGCAGTTAATCCGTGAAGAACATTGCATGAATGGACACGCTGGTGCTCAATTCCTGATGGGACACCTGCGCAAGAAATATTGGATTTTACAAGGTCGACAAGCCATCAAGAAAGTAATCCATTCCTGCACAATATGCAAGAGATTTTCCATGAAGAAGCCGGAAGTGCCTGCTGGACTTCTACCTTCTGTTCGAGTCAAGATGGGAAAAGTTTTCGAAGTGACGGGGGTGGATCTTGCTGGTCCACTGTTCCTCAAAAATAAGACCAAGGTGTGGATCTGGCTATTCACATGTGCAGTCTACCGATGCGTGCATTTGGAGTTGGTCGGCTCAATCTCCACTGAATCTTTTTTGCTGGCTCTTGAGCGATTTATTGCACGAAGAGGACGCCCCACCACCATCTACAGTGATAATGGGACCAACTTCACTGGAGCGTCCCACTATTTTAAAGAGTTGAATTGGAAGAAGATCGAGAAGGAGACCGCCATGAAGAGGATTAATTGGATCTTTAATCCGCCTTCCGCACCGTGGTGGGGAGGCTGGTGGGAACGCCTTATCAAGATAGTCAAGGATTTATTAAGAAGAATGTTGGGTAACAGCCGAGTGGACTACCAACAACTTGAAAGTTGCATTTGCTCAGTGGAATCGGTCGTGAACGCAAGACCACTGACATTTGTGACTGAGGACCCCGAAGATCTCATCCCGTTGACCCCAGCTATGTTTTTACAAGATAATCAAGAGACCAACTTCCCCGAGGCAGAATTACTTGAAGGGGACATGCTGCGGATGAAGAGCAAAGGAATGCTGGAGTTACGTAATCAATTGCGATCCAGATTTAGAAGAGAATATCTGAGCCAACTTGTGCAGAAAGCGAAGACAATGAAGAAGCCGTTCGAGTTCAAACCAAACGATCTGGTGCTCGTCGGATACGATAATAAGAAGAGATTAGGATGGCCAATGGGTCGAATCCTGAATTTATTTCCTGGGAAAGATGGAAAGTTTCGAGTGGCGAAAATTCGTACTAAGAATGGAGTCATTACCCGTCCCTTGCAACGCCTGTATCCCCTTGAGATCACTGGAAACAGCGTGGAATGCCCAGTCCCCCCAAATTTGGAGAAAGCCGAAGAGAAAGCCACAGAGTGGGAGAAAGAAGAACCTGTCAAGAGGACACGTCATGGACGACAAACCAAGAAACCAGATCGTCTCGGCGTGAATTAATATTATTGATATGAATTTTTATGAATTTTAGTATTTCTTATTTACTAAATTTTAATTACGTCACTGAACTCCCCTTGGCGAGCTGAGAAAATTGATATGTCACATGACCAGGTTTAAATTTATCCATTGGATACCGATAGCCACACCCACAGGGGGTGTGGCATATTAAAATTTGAAATACGCCACTGAAATCTCCTTACCCGCCTGAGAAAAATGATATGTCGCATGGCGTGCATTGATAAGGTATTGGCAGAAGCGCCGATAACCACACCCCCTTTCGCCATGGGGTCTACGACAATGGAATGTCGTTCACATAGGGGGCCTTGGTAAGATTACGTGCATTGGCGAAGTTGAATTTCGGAAACTACGGTGGGGGGAAATTTTTTAACTAAATTAAGTGTGTTGATTTGACATCTGACCACCCCCACAATGACTCCAAAGCAGGGGGTGCGGTCTACTAGTCGGTGAATATGTGACCTGACTATTTCCGCCAAGAATTTATCCCCAGGTCCGTCGAATCCAGTCGTAAAATTTTAAAAACCGATAAGGAAGTGTTACTTGTTTTTTGACCTTGTGACCTGGATTTCGAGGGGGTGGGGCCGAATTTAAAAAATCTGAAAATATATATTTCTCCCCAAGGTCCAAGGTTTAAAAAACGGGCGCCATTGTGAAAATCCATCAAGAAATGACCGTGCAATTAATTTCCAAACTTTACATGTTATAGCTTATGGAGAGGTCGGCCATTTAGCCTTTCGGATTTATTAACATTGGCCGATGCTCAATACTTTTAAGATGCACCATAGGATTTCTCTTCGTATTCAACGACAAACCCGAATTTTGTCGCGTTCAGATCGCGAAATTGGGGCAACAATGAAGTGCACCATTGTTAGAATGGATAGCTTGCTAAAATTCGTTATAAAAGAACAATTTGCGTCTCAATTAATTACTTGGTGTGTCCAAATACCTCCAGGTCACAAAATAATTCACGCCGCATTCAGGACGAGGTTCATATTAGTAAATCCTTTCACTCGTAATATCCCCTACTCTTTGGAGCATTTCATGCGCACCATTCTTCTCAGCGCGAACGATTCCTTTCAAATAATATCAAGTGATGGATCTTGCCCTGACCAGGCAAAATTCTACTTAAACGCACCGCTCGAATTGGAATGGGATGCTCACGGGGCGACTCGAACTCTGACAAAAATCAGGGGCATTTCGTACCTCTCCTGTTATGCGGATCACTATTTAACGTTTGCCTTTTACCTTGAGCCATTTCAACCCGCCGTGTGGATTGCTATGGTCATATCTGTGTTAGTAGTGATAAATGTATTAACAATCGCGCTTTTTTTGAAAAGCAAAGTTTCCCTGGCGCAGTTATGGTGGCACGTGTGCGGCGCCCTGTTCACGCAGTGTTATCTGCCCGACGACAAAATGAAGATATACTATGTCCGCATCATTTTCGGGATTTGGTGCCTTATGGGCGTGATTTTGTCAAATTGCTACACCGGTTTGATGGCAACGGAGCTAAATGCACCGCTGCAACTTTCGCACCCGCAAATTTTGGGGGATCTTGTGTGTACCTTGTTGTCTGAAAATGAAATCGGTGCCTTATACGGAGAGGAAGATATTAAGTTATCTGAAGAGGGTAGAGCAAACGTCAAAGTCTTAATGGCATACTTTAATCAATTAGGCATAGCTTATGCCGACAAGACAAATCTATTTGTCCCCCCGCCTACAAAGGAAAACTGCTTTCGTCTCTTATCACTTCCAATAAAATATAAGGATGGATATCCTGGTTGGCCAGAGTTATTGCACTTTTTAATGCAGGTGAGCTGTCAATATTTCAACCGGAACAAATATAATGGTGTGAACACTAATACTGTAAGGGCACAACCTCGATCATCACGTGCTCGTATCCTTCCCATACTATTAGTATGGTAGGGATACGAAGGCGGGAGGCAAATTTTGGTCGAGGTTGCATGCTAAGCATAATAAAAGGAGTGCTCTTGTTTACAAGCAAAGCTTATGGCGAGTAGGATTCATCTTTAAAAAACAAATATTAATAGAGAGGTTGAGCAGAGGTATTTTTTATCATATTTGATTTTAGTTTGGTCTCTATACAATCATATATTCAATATTCATTAGCAAGGTATGGAATGGTTAACTTTTACCAGAAATATATTTATATTACTCTGGTGCGGAACTCCTACAAAAAATTCTAAACTCTGCACTTAACTTTTTTTCTGTGATTAATTAGATGGATGACAGCACTCCCCGTGGAAAAATTTGGAACTCCTACACAATGAAACACCACCGTCTTAGATTCAGCCTGTTTATGCCGCATCACTTCCACCATGTTCCGGATTTTAACTACGGGAAAAGATACCCGAATGAGACGGAAATCCGGAATAGTATAGAAAGAGAAGTGGTAAATTGCGACAAAAAAACGGTTCTTATTTCCCCCTTGGACTCATTGGACGCCGAGTATAACTTCTTATCGAATAACTACCCATATAAGAAGTTTTACAAGGGAAGGGACACATTGGTCGGAGCGAGAGGTTTCATTATCGGGATGACTTTCACAATTGATGGGAAAATGTCCAAAGTACCCAAGTACTTTCAGTATCTGATCGATACCGGAATTTATGGCAGAATTGTGCAAGAGCTGAGCGATAGGAAATTTTCATCCAGAAAGCCGGCCGTTCGGAACGACCTGGAAGGAGTGACCGCGTTTGGTTTGGATGGAACGATAGTGACCATATTTATTTTGTCGGGTACATGCGTGATTTTGGCGTTATGCGTTGCGTTACGCGATAGGCGTTGGCGTTTCTGGTGGAGATGAGGCGGAAGATTTATAAAGTTGTAGCCTTTATCTGTCTGATATTTTCATACAAATGGTTTCTAATTAAGGTTAAAGTGTCGGTTGCGTAAAAAATATGCGATTACGTTATTTAGAAATGTATTTTGGAAACTTAGGTAAACGTTAGGCTACTTCGAGGAACAATGCACTCGACGCGTCAGCATATTAATTTGCCAGAAAATCGCCACCAATAAATTCTCAAAATTTATAAGGACAACCCGAGTTAAGCCACGTATTTTGGCAATAGTTTCTTTCTCACGAGTCGCCCTTCACTTTGAAGAATTTGGTGTACTTAAGTAACCCAAATTTATAACTTAAATTAATACAATAAATAAAATCCTTAATTTAAATAATCTAAAGCATTAAACCTTTCACAAATGCATAAGTGCAAACCTTGAACTCAAACCTTGTTCTTGCTTCACGACCATATTTTTGCTTCGGTTCGTATGGTGCTCCTGCACACCCGTCAAATTCGTTTCCTTTGCGGCCAGCTGTATGAATTTTTTCGGTAAAAAGTGAGCGACAGATTTATGAATTAGAAAATGTTCATGCTTATTTAGTAGACTAACCAATAGTCCAATCAAGAGAAGAAAAAATGATAGATTATCGACAGCTTAATGCAAACGACAATTTGTGATTACAAATTATATTTTTAGAGTCAAACTACATAATTGACTTAAAAATTACAATTAATAATGCGAATAAAAGCAAATGTACAAGTATATAGGTGATCACTTGACAAAATGCAATGGGAATTTACACTTTTTTTCGTTGTGCAAACCTAAAGAACCCAAATTATTCTGAGGATTTATCAATCTGCTCTTTATCCACAATTGCATGATGCGCGTATGTATTTACAAGGTCATCTTTAGGATGTACGAGGCATTTTTCTCCTTATCACGAGTTAAAAACTCCTAACTGCATCGCAAATTATTCTCCATAGAACATCTTAAAACTATTGGTACTTGTTAAAATTACTCAAGTCCGGCAAAATTTGTTAGCGGTATGGTAAAACCTTAATGTCGGATATTAATTTGCTACATACCACACAGTACTTCTTCTTCATAACACTTTGGTAGAGTCATATAAATACCGCTTGGTATTCGCTGAATTTCTAAGCGTGTATGTAGTTACATAGTGAAGTGAAGTATACATACATAACTGTAGACATATATGTATCGCGGTCAAATACCTACACGTGCGCAGGGTGGAACTACACGCGTCTGGATTTTGATAAACGAACTTCCATGTTCAGTGGGTGTGTCTGGTTTCAAATATGCAGACTAAAAAATATGTTTCAAGGTAAAACTTTAATCAATGATAATGCAAAATATCCGACCACTGTCATGAAATACATTTAACCGCACCCTAACGTTGTCACGAAACAAACATACAGTGGAATTATTTTGGCGGGACATTTCGTTCGCATATTATGACGAAGAGAGAAACGAACTTTATTCAACACGGAATGCCTCCAGTGGGTAGTGAAATTTATGCACACTCTTAAAAACCTGGCATTTATCTTTACCTTGCGGTGTGCATGTGACTTCACCAAACGGTTAAATATTTTCCATTGCATGGTGATAACTCTTGCTGGCATGGTGGCAGATTGAGACTGGGTGGTGTTAAGTTTATCAACATTAGGTGCAAAACATTATCACTGCACGGTGGAGTTACATACATATGCACACCTGCATTAGTGACAATTAAAATCGGGTTGTTAAGAGTGTATGTATGCATATTGAGATTTATGCAACTAAACTGACAACAATAATTCCACTGTACTTGCATGTGCTAAAAGAAATACGTATCCCCTAAATTAATTAATTAAAGCGTTTTCTTGCCAATTCATGGATGTATCTGCGCATATTTATAACAAAAATACATCATTACTCTCCTTACTTTTTAGAAATGTCGAACTTTGCTGCCTTATTTGCTCTAACTATTTTATCATTTCCTTACAGTATTCAAAGCAGCTTTATATTCATTTCCCAATCAAAGATTTCCTTCGAAAACGACATAACACAATCTGTAAAATGTGACTTACAAATTCTCCACGATGACGGAACAAATCAAATTTCAATTTCCGTTCAAAATTTCCCCGTACAGATTATACACGTACCAAAATTCAGAACTCGGT